TCCTGCCCTCCCCTCCCCGTCGTCGTCCCCCCCAGCATCTCTCACGCCAGAGAAACTGAGGAGCTTTTAACAAATGTGAACGGTTCCAGGAACCACGCAGGAAGCGGTGCCGAGGGCAGCCCAGGGTGCCCACCGGCGCCCGCCCTGGCCCCATGTACATAGTGTACATAATACAGTACGTGTATTTTTAAAGTGATCATATTTATGTTAATAGAACCAGATGAAGTCTATATATAGAGATCTATATCTATTCTGAGAGATGCAGGGCTCTGCTAGCACCAGGCCGCGGGGACAGAGAGCCGAGACGGGCTGCTCCCGCACCAAAAACGGGGGGACCCGTCGGTGGCACCGAGTGCTCCGGGGCGGTGGTGGAGGCGACAGCCTTCCCCAGCCACCAGCAGCCCCCGGGAAAGGGCCAGGTCACAGCTTCATTCTCTTCTCGATTTAGCTTCTTCAAGAGTTTTCAGGGAAAAAGAAGTCACAGACTTTTTCTGAACTTGTTTCACAGCAGATTTGAGCTTCCACTCGAAGTGCAGCCTGCTAAGAGTTGCCCTCTCCCGGCAGCGCTGGCTGCTTTGCACCAGCCTGGCCCCAAGCGGCAGCGATTTGTCCCCCCGGCCGGAGCTGAGTCCCTGTGCTGGAGCACTCGCCTCCTCACCCTCAGCCCCCAAAACGCTCCCCAGTGCCTCCCCGCACCCCAACAGCCTCCCCACCGGCGCAGAGCGGTCACCACAGTGTCCCCATGGGTGGGCTGGCAGCGGCTGCCTCCAGCCCCCTGCCCGCTCGTCCCTCCTGCCCTCGGCTCCTGCCTCACTGAGGGCAGGAAAATCCCTCTGCACCGGGTGACTCCAGTCCCCGCTCCCTCTGCAGAGCTTTCTACTCCTCCAGGTCCAGGCCAAAGCTATTTGGGGCTGCCTGGATAAAAAGCAGCGTGGTTTTTTGATATTGAGGTTGGTTTTTTTGTTGGGTTTTTTTTTTTTTTTTCTTTTTGGCTTTGAGATACTACTTGGACTCGCTCCCAGACCAAACCCAAGCCCCAGCTGCACATCTGTGCCTGCTCATACCTTGCTCCGACATTTCCATCACTCCCAAAGTGCCTCCCTTCTCTCCGGCAGCAGCCCCAGCTTGACTTTCTGCCCATCTGCATGGGTCCGTGTGGCAGACCCTGGTGCAGAAGCCAGTCCCGAGGGCATAGGGGGGAGCTCAGCATTTATAGGAGGTGACCATCAGGGTGAGCTGAGACCTGGTCGATGAAGGGTGGAGACGCACAGGGTAGCACTCTCTGGTCCTGCAGTTGAAAGGGCCAGCAGGTGTCTGCAGGCGAAAAGTTCCTTTGCCTTTGGGAAGGGTTGCCCTGCGGCAACCAGGATTTGCCAGCGTCAAGCTCTCTGCCCTTGGTGCCAGTCCTACACCGCTGCACACAACCTCACGTGCCGCTTCCAGCCTCCCGAAATGATCGAGGCACTTCTGCAGCTGTGGGGGGGAGGCACGCTCCTTTTTGGCTTTGAGATACTACTTGGACTCGCTCCCAGACCAAACCCAAGCCCCAGCTGCACATCTGTGCCTGCTCATACCTTGCTCCGACATTTCCATCACTCCCAAAGTGCCTCCCTTCTCTCCGGCAGCAGCCCCAGCTTGACTTTCTGCCCATCTGCATGGGTCCGTGTGGCAGACCCTGGTGCAGAAGCCAGTCCCGAGGGCATAGGGGGGAGCTCAGCATTTATAGGAGGTGACCATCAGGGTGAGCTGAGACCTGGTCGATGAAGGGTGGAGACGCACAGGGTAGCACTCTCTGGTCCTGCAGTTGAAAGGGCCAGCAGGTGTCTGCAGGCGAAAAGTTCCTTTGCCTTTGGGAAGGGTTGCCCTGCGGCAACCAGGATTTGCCAGCGTCAAGCTCTCTGCCCTTGGTGCCAGTCCTACACCGCTGCACACAACCTCACGTGCCGCTTCCAGCCTCCCGAAATGATCGAGGCACTTCTGCAGCTGTGGGGGGGAGGCACGCTCAGCGCCCTGCCCGCTCATCCCACCTGCCAGCACCAGGCTGGTTGGGGCTGGCACGCTCGCCTGCCGCTCTGCCTCTTTCAAACGATGCCACCCCGCTCCCTGCAGTCACCCTCTCCTTCCAGCTGGGTCGATGCCCTGCGGTGGGTGCTGCCCTGCAGCCATGAGCCTGGTTGTCCCCCCCTGCCCCTGGACATGGAGCAGGGTGGCAGTGGGGACCCTGGTGAAGAGGCAGGTTGTGCAGCAGCGTCTGCCAGCACCTACCTCTGCTGAGATGGCATCCACCCTCGGCAGCGTCAGGGCAAAGAGCTTTTCCTTTGGCTGGGGGTAGAGGGTGGCAGGGAATGAGGTGGTCGGCAGAGCAGAAGCGAGCCCAGGGCACACTTCTCCACTTAGGGCTCTGCTTCATCACCTCCCCAGCATCGCCAGCAGATCCCATTCCCCCTCAGCATCATCCCCCTTACTTCAGCACCCCACTGTAAAGGAAGGCAAGCTCCTTCCAGCACTCCTGCTGAAAAAAAACCCAGGCATTTCCCCTTCCTCATCCTCCAGCAAGAGCAGGGGGCACAGCTCTAGACAGAGCCAGGGCTGCCTCAACCTCCCCCCTGCCAGGCAAAAAATTTGGCTGTGGCGAGAGCGGTGCTGGCTCCGGCGGCGCGTTCCCCGCGGCTGGAGAGGGCCAGTTTTAGCAGACAGCGCTGCATGTTAGTTTACAAACCCAGCCCTGCACGTTCGGCCTCTGTGAGTGTTTCAGTTCCCCCCACGGAGCACCCTTCTGCCGTTCCACCTTGGTGAAGACAAGTGTCCTCCTCCGGTAGACATGCGAGTTCCTCCCTGGCACATGCGCAGACACGGTTCGGTTTTTGTTCCAGACAGGAAGGTCTTGACGACAAACCCCACCACCCACCACCACCACCACCTTTTTTTCCCCCCCTAAAGTTTGTTTGAGGGACAGGCTGCTGCCGGGAGCAGCACTGAGCAGCCAGGACCCACTGGGACGGTGGGGTGGCAGGGTGGCCCGCAGCGGGTTGGGGGGCACGCAGCCACGTGGGGCCAGCTCATGGCCGTGGCGTGTGCTCCGTGTCCTGCTGTGGGAGTGGAGAGCAGCCCTGTCCCCAAGAGCCGGGCAGGAGCGGGTCCCCACACGCAGCAGTGGTGATGGCTCACGTCACCGTAGCCACCTCACGTCACTGCGGCCACTCAACAAGGCAGAGGACAGCAGGTAGAGACAGCCTGGGCCGGGGTGGGTCACAGGATCACAGAATGATACGGGGTTGGAAGGGACCTCTGGAGATCATCTAGTCCAACCCCCCTGCCAAAGGTCCACCCAGAGCAGGTTGCACAGGAAGGTGTCCAGGTGGGTTTGGAATGTCTCCAGAGAAGGAGACTCCACCACCTCCCTGGGCACCACCTCCTCTGCTGCCGGGTCTGCGGGCGGACGAGAGGAAGGACTAGATACTGCACAAGGGTGAGAGTTGCACTAGAAGAGTCAAGACCCTCCTCTGTGTAGCAGGACTAAAAACTAGCAGAAAAGACCGAAAAGGTCTGAGATTTGCTGGTTACAAACACTTTTCTGTGCTACATGTGCAATATATTTGTTATGAATGTTACCACAAAGTCAGTTCATTCAATAATCTTTTAATCACCGTAGCTAGATGTTCTCCGTCCATTCAAGTGACTTTTATTCGAGTGCAATATTTCAATAGACATGTAGTGACCTAGTATGCTTTGTGTTTTAGAGAATCTGTGTGCAGAGCAATGCAATTAAGTTTAAAACCTTGTAAATAAAACAGGTTGCAAACCAAAAAAAGAAAAAAAAAAAAGAAAAGAAAAAAAAAAAGAGTATTAGGCTTGCATTTAATTTCTGTGAGTGTTTCAGTATCGTGCATTAGGCCGCCTCAGTACAGACCCCGTGTTCTCTGTGCAGGTATTAATGGAGGAGTGGCTCCTCGGCTGTTGAATGCTCCCTGTTAATGCTTTACTGCTTTAACTGTATTCATTTTTCTAGACTCCTGTCTGCACAAAATGCAATAAATGATTTTATTACACCCTTCACTACTTGCACGGGGAGTTTTCACTTGCTTCCAGGGTCTCCACTGCTATTTTGCACTTGGCTGCTACCGTTTCCGTAACAAGGAGCAATAAGGGAGCAGCAAATTGCAGAGGGAGCAAAAAAACAGGAGGAGAGGAACAGCCTCTCCCAAGCTCTGCAGTTCCTGTGTTTAAGCTCACACAAATTTCTGATCACCCCAGCAAAGATGCTTTACCTGCCTGTGGGGCCGTGGAGATGAAGAAAGGGATCTAACAGAGACCAGAGGAGGAAAGACGGCAGAGAGACATCCTTCCCTCCCATTTCAGGCTGCGTAGTAACGGCAGCACAAAGTCCAGGAAGGCCAGTGCTCAGCCTACAGGGACTGCTGGCCCTGACTTGCCACAGCAGCAGACAATCACCTGCAGCTGTGGGGGGGCCACCAGCCCCAGCTCCTTGCTGGCCCAAACGCACCCTCCCCTCCTGCCACCAGCAGCCGGGGACGCTTGGGACCTCTCACACCGGCCCCTGCGTGTGTCCCTCTGCTCTGCCGCAGATCCTCCCGAGCCCACTGTGCCAGAACAAGCAGCCGTGAGGTATTTTGACCCCAAACTGTTACAAACTGAGCCAGACCACAATACCCTGACAGCAGTCCCTGGAAGGTTCGTACACCTCCCGCCTGGCATCCAGCACAGGGCAGCGCTGACACGGCTCCTCTGGAAAGGAGAGTAACGGCAAACGCGACGGAATAATGTATTCCCGCAGCACTCAAGCTGTCAAATGTCAAAAATGCAACAAAACGTTTTTCCTGCCTTTTTATTAAAAAGTAATGTCCTCTTGTTAACAGCACAGAGAGAGAGAAAAAAAAAATATGCTACAACACAAACCACCTGGGACAAAGAAAATCCTCTGCTCCAAGAACACCGCTCTCTCAGCTTCTCTCGGTTCTCTGCAGGAAGCCTACGGACTCCAAGAAGGCCGTGATGGGGAGGACCACAGAGTGTTTGTGTGGACCACAGAATGTCTCTGTGGACCACAGAGATGTTTTGTGTTCTGGTATCAAAGTATGTTACTGGTTAAAAACACGGTGAAGAATCACTGCCCGATTTTCCACTCAACTGTCCGCTGCGGCTACCAAAGTGTAGAACAAAAAATAATGTATAAAATTATGGTATTGCATCTTGGCACTGCCTCCCCACCCCAGATGGACAGAACAGCCACCGACAGCGAGATGAAGGTTCAGGGAGCAGACATCCACCACCTGGAAACCTGCTGCAGGGAATTCCCAAGGGAGGGAGGCAGCCCATCAGTGAGGCTGAGCCGCTGGGCCACGGGAACCAACCGTCCCAAAGCAAGGTGATAAGAAAAGGAAATTTATACACCAAAATTTAACAGATTGATCTTAACACTGACTACTCGGCGTAGGAAAACTGACAGACCGTTTCCTTGGTTGGAAGCTCTTGTGTTGTGCCACTGCCCCAGTGGTCCGACCAAAGCTGCCCATTGGGGTGAGCTGGGCGAGGTGAGGAGCGTTTCTCTGCCTCACTCTGCCAGGACACCACAGTCCAGCCACGGAGGGACCAAACCGCCCGCTCCCGGGTTACTGAGGAGAGGTGAGGCATGTGCTTCATGAGCCCAGCTGCTAGCGCTACCCCTCTACTTTCCAACTGGCTTATATGCCATTAAAAAAAGAAAAAAAAAAATTATCCAAAGAAAAACAGTTCCCGTTCCAAAAAGGTGGGTCTCCACGAAGGCCCAGTCAGCGTCACCGCTCTGTTCAGTCCCGTTTCCTCAAAACCCAAAAAACTATACTAAGACCGTTCAGCGAGACCAGACTGCACCACAATGTGAAGATGCACCAGCTACTGGGAGTGAGGAAAATTGAGAAGGACCATCATTGCAGCAGCTTCTGGGACTGGACAAACCAACCGATTATCCAAAGCGGCTCTCGGCACGTGGTGCCGCTGAGAAAACATCTCTCCAACCACTGCTAACCAGGCCGAGGGGAGGAAGGGCAGCACTAGATCAGCCAGCAGCAATGCCACCGGGGGTACACTCTCACCAAAGAGGAGAGGACATGCATATCCAGGGGCATTTGTCCCGCGTCAAGGACTCCTTAAACAGCTATAAGTATGGAATGGCAAAGGGAAGGGGACAGGGCCTGCCAGCTCAGCTTTAGTAGTGTCGCTGGTAGGAACCCATAGGTTGCTGGGCTGAGGAGCCTGCTCGCCCCTGGGCCACCGTTTGGCTCACTAAGTGGGAGAGTGCAGGACCACTCTGGATAAGGGTGTCCAAGGCTTTCTGTACGCTGGGGTTGTCAAAGTTGATACCAGAAGACACCGGCCTTTGAGCAGGTACGTTGCCAGGTGCAGGGAGGCGATTTTGGTGCTGCCCGTAGAGCGACTGAGCTGGCGGAGGAGCCCCAGGTCTTGGGCCTGCATTTCTTGAAGGGCCTTGGAGAGCAGGAAGCTGCGTGCTGGGAGTCTGCAATCTCTGCTGAGCCTGGTTTAAATTTCCAGCACTGAGGGGTGCTGAGCGGGCCTGACCGCTGGCCATGTTAGCAAAGTTCTGGTTGGGAGTGCCACCCGAGGCGCCCGCAGGGGCTGCAGAACCGCTGTTTGCCACAGCAGCCGCTGCCGCCGCCGCCCCGCTGTTGAAGAGACTGAGGATTTTTGCTTGAAGCTCCTGCTGAGGATTAGAAGAGGAGACTGGAACAGAAGGAGCAGAAACCAGAGGCTGTGAACCCTGATGAGCCTGAGAGCTTGGAAGGCTGGACTGACTCCCCAGAGATGATCCTGAAGGTGCTCCCAGAGACTGTCTTGACATGGATGCTGGGAAAGAAAGGAAAGAAGGTTAAAGCTCTGCAAATTCCCTTGAAGAGGCACCTAAAGAAAACTAGTGAAACAGCTTCCAGAGACACAAGCACCAGTGAACACCCATCCTCTGAACAGGAGAGTTGTACAGCCCTGGGCAACCCAAACCCTTCACCAGAACTGCTGCCCTTTGTTTGCAGCCAAACCAGTTATTGCAGCCCCGTGGTTTCCCTGAGAGAATCCAATATAAAAGTTCTTTCACTCGAAAGACCTGCATCGTCTCAGGACTCCCAAGGACAGGTCCATCTCCGTACAATGAGGTGCTGTGTGAGTAAGTCATGACACTAAGGGCTCCTCTTGCAGTCCCAGGAGTGTTTTGGGTTCCCAGCCCAGAGGGCCCCCAAACGATAGGATTCACAGCCTTGTCTGGGGCTCAGAAACTCACCCTGCAGAGAATCACCGCTTCCCCTCAGTAACCGTTCCTTCCGGTCTCTCAAGTAATTAATGACTTTATCAGTCTCCTCGGCAGTCAGACAGCGATTGTCTGCCAGCAGGTTCAAGAGAGTCTGGATCCCTGGAGGGTGACCTCCTCTGACACCCTCCTCCATGGGGGGTGGGCGCTCCCGCTCCTGCAGAACAGCCTCGTCTGCCATCTTGGCAGCCTGCCGGGCGATCTCCTCCCGCTCCTTCTCCCGCGACTCCGTCTTGTAGCGCTCGTAATTCCTTGCGACCAGCGCCATGGCGTCAGCCTGGGGCATGTTGCGGTGTTCTGCACAAGGAAAAGAAAGGTTTTCAGTAAACCAAAGTGACGTTAACAGAAGGTGCCCTGGCCTCACACACACACCCAGCGCATCTCATTCAGCAGGCAGGCACCACTTTGGGATTGCGAGCGTAGATTTGGGTAGCTTCCCAGGCTTCCCAGTCCCATTTCCTACACCAACAGAAGGCTCAAGCCTCTCACCCAGCAAAGCCATCCTTTTCTTCCATAGCTGAGGGCTCTGTGAGAAGATACCATATCATTACAAGAAATGTCTATCCTTCCTCTCACCCAATTAAAAGGGAAAGCAGCTCCCTCTACCTCTCATATAAATTCTCCGTGCTCCAAGAGAAGACAGCTCCAGCCATTCTGCCGGTAAAGCCTTGGACAGATCCAAAACTTGCTCTCTGAAAAGCTGCTAAAGCTTCCCAGAGCAGGACAGCAATGGGAATACTTTTTGATTTTTTGTGCACATGCAGGAGATGAGGAGGAATGAAGCACTGGCTTGATGTGACATTGCTGCTTCTGTTTACTACTCTGGGGCAATAAGCAGAAATCAAGTTCTTCTGTAATAGAACGAATAATGGTCTATTCCAGCTTTTTTTTTTTTTTTGCAGTTGCCTTTTAAAGTTTTTGAAGTCATTATTTCCACCTCACAAAGCAC